TGAGTGGTGCCATGTCTACGCCCAGGATCCAAACCGGTGAAACCCTGGGCCGCCGAAGTGGAGCCCGCCAGCTTAACCACTCGGCCCCTGGCTGGCCCCAGAACTACATATTTTAATTGCACATAACCCTTAGTTAGGATAATAGATTTCTAGGACAAATGAAACTGAGGTAGATAAAATCAAGGAGAAATGAGCCACTCGATTCAGCTAGCAGGGCATTGTACAGGGACATCGGTATTAACACATTCATAAAAACCACTGGTGGAGATGCTCCTAGACTCAAAAAGAAAAGATACAGATGGCAGGTCCCGTGTGGTCTAGCTCTAAAAAATGTTTGGGTGAGATGTCAAAGCTTTGTACAAAGAACAAATTCAGTATGAGAAACCATATTTTTCCTGAATTCACATTTTGGCAGGACTGACAGTTTGAGACTTACACAAAGGAATTCCCATGAAGCACTTGATTAAGATCATATTTCTCATTTTAGACAAAATTCCAGTTCATATACAATGTAAACTATACATTTTCTATAAATCGGGGGGTGGGGTGGGAATCCCAGTCAAACTGTCAATTGGCTTAGCCAAAGGTTCCAAGCTACTCCAAGTGTATTCAGTGGACATGCCCCCAACCCATCCACCGCCTTCCCTACGCCCCATTCCAGGTGCAAGGCAAAGAGGGCAGTGACCACTGGTGGAAGAGGTCCCCTCGGGCTCTTATGCTGAGAGGTCCCGGCAGTTCCTACATCAGGCAGGTAGTACCGCTGCTGCCTTACCACACCAAAAGGGAGGCTAACACAGAGGGGAAAGGGAGGCGCCTATCTAGGAACCAGGAAAGAAAGGAGCAGAGCAAATGTTCTGGGAGTGGCAACTTTTTCCACCCAGAAGGGTTCCAGTCAGAAGAATAACTTGCTGCACACTTCACGCTGACGCTGGTTTTGACAATAACTGTGCTCTGCATTTCAGACAAGGGCTAATAGTACCTTTCAAGCAATGTTGGAAGCCATAGTAATAAATGATGATGATGACAACTAACTGGGTACACTGTTTCACACACACCAGTTGCTCTGATCTTCGTAAGAGCTCTAGAAGGCGGATGGTAATTCAATGTGATAGATGGGCAAACTGAGGATCAGGGCTGTTAGAAGATTTGCTAAGGCCATACAGACAGTAAGAAGCAGAGTCATTTTCTAAACCCAGATCTTCTGACTCTATGCCCCAAAAGAAACAATGTCACAGCCACTTAAACACTGGTCACAATTCATTTCTCTAACAGTGAGACTGTGAGGGTGAACCACCCCCACCGGGGGTAAGGGGTAGAGTCACTGATGAGTACAGACAGGACAGGACTCACGTACACTCTGCCCGCCCCAGAGCACACAGCCAGCAACCAGCAGTTCCTAGGCACAGGCAGCAGATCTGTTTAACATGAGCATATCCCAAACCTGGCTGTATGGAAGGCAGCATGAGAAGCATGCTTTGGCCTCGTTCAGGGGTGGGACAGTGGAATCGGTACTTTGTTTTAAGTTAAAGTGGTCAATCATTTAAATACTGAATTCAGGGCTTTCCAGTCAAGTTCAGCAATGTTAGGCCACAGACTTCTTTCCCCAGGGATGAATGTTAAAGAACCTCTCAGGGCATTGCTGAAAAAACCCTAAAAAGACTAACAGGAAAAATACCCAAATGTCTAGCCATACCATCTGAGATGGTGAATCTCCTGAGAGACCATTATTGGCCCTTGGAAGTACACAAATTCCAGAAACAAATATTATTTTGAGGAAAATAAAAAACGTTAAGACTGCAGGCCTATATCTGGCAATCACATTTTAGAATTTACTTGTGAGTCAGCAGTTTGAAACTTAGAATACACCCAGAGATTCTAATAACCCATCAAGAGCACTTAGTTTCCAGTCTACCCTCTGAAAGCCTGTTTAGCCCATTATGTACAAAAACAGAGTATTCCAGCTATGCTAATCACATTTCAACGGGGAAAGCCAAGTCAAAATTCCAAACCACCACAATAAGACATATTTCCTCTTCTCAGCTCAAGTGGTCCATGCTAGTCCCAGGAAAGCAGAAGGGACAAAGTAGGTGCTCCCGCATCCCAGTGGCTTACTAAAAACCCCTACTCTTCAGGGTTGGTTCATCCTTCTCTAGTTGTTCTGACCTAGGGAACAAGGGCACTTGCCCTGCAGAGTTGGAGGGCAAAACGCCATGCAAGTCTAGCTCTGTCTCTGCCAGCACGTGAAGACGTGGCCTGAAGAAGAGCTCAACAATGTTCGGGTTAAAATAAAAGCCTTTGGCCTTATTTTTCAAACCTCTCTTGCCTGAAATTCTAATAAAGCTACAAGCGCTTACGTCATTACAGGATGATAGCTGTAACAGTCTGGGTCTAATACTGTTCAACACTTTCTGAGAGCGGGCAGAGTCCCTAACTGCTTTCTTGCCACATCTCTGCAAAGCAGTGGCCACGCACACTGGTGACTGAATGACATGGTTCTTTACGTAAATCAAACAAAAGCCAAACCTGTACATTTGTAAATGCACAAATACATATCTGTGCATGTACAGACGGCAGTCTGGAGTGGCACACACCAGTCAGTTCCCGTGGTCCCGTCTGGGGAAAGGAATGCGATGGCAGAGTAAAGCAGCAGTTTTAAGTTTCACCACTTGAATTTCTTTTGAGAAGTGTATTTTTAAAAAATATGCTTTATGTATACTTTACATGTAACTTAAAAAATACTTTAAACCTAGGGGCTGGCCCCGTGGCTGAGTGGTTAAGTTCACACGCTCCGCTGCAGGCGGCCCACTGTTTCGTTGGTTCGAATCCTGGGCGTGGACGTGGCACTGCTCATCAAACCACGCTGAGGCGGCGTCCCACATGCCACAACTAGAAGGACCCACAACGAAGAATGTACAACTATGTACTGGGGGCTTTGGGGAGAAAAAGGAAAAATAAAATCTTAAAAAAAAAAAAACTTTAAACCTTGACAAGCCATTTTAAAAACACTTCAAAATGATAATTTCCCTGAATATAAAATATGATCATAGAAAAAATCAGCAATTATAAAGATACTTAGATAGATTCAAAATAGAATGACTCAAGGAGTTATTATACAGGTTCTTTATACTAGCAGGTTCAGCAATCTATAGCTCATGGGCCAAATGCAGTTCTACAGACAGGTCCACAAGGGAAAGCTGGTTTTTACATTTTTTAAAGGGTTATTAAAAAAAAGAAGAAGAAGAATATGTGACAGAGACCACATGTAGCCCATGAAGCCTAAAATTTACTGTTTGCCCTCTAAAGAAAAAGTCTGATGATTCCTGATTTACACCAAGAATACTGGGTCTTTTCCAAAATAGTTTTAAATTCCTCTTGGAAATGCCTTCAAAATCACCTTTAAACACAATAAAAATTAGTCTTATTACTTAATAGCCTAGTTTTTTTTTTCTCCTAAATCCAGAGTAATCTAAGTTAGCATACTCAGCCACTTCAATCATCAGATTTGGCTCAGAAGACTGGTGACTTCCTAAAATCAAATACAGCCCCAGAATGGGGAAGGGGACATTCACCCTCCTAACATCCAGAAACCTAAATTCTGGTGTGGGGCTAAAATGCACAAGGACATACGGAAAAATCGAACTCAGAAGAACTCTCTGTGCAGCTAAAAATAATTTAAAAAGTCTAGTGGTGACACTACATAACAGATCACAGTTTAATAAGTCATTTCCTAAACAAAGGAAGGAGAAAGCTCACCTTTACTCTTAGGAAATTTGTATTCTAGTCTTACATTCTAATCTAGAGCCCTGAAGGAGGGCGAACACTTCATTATGACTGTCCAAGACCCTAAGAAACGTACTGAGTAAGAATTGAACGCACCTAAATGTGAATGGTGGTGAGTTTAGAACTGGAAAAATAATTTGTAGGGGCTGGCCCCATGGACAAGTAGTTAGGTTCACGTGCTCTGCTTCAGCAGCCTGAGGATTCACTCGTTCGGATCCTGGGTGCAGACCTAGCACTGCTCATCAAGCCACGCTAAGGCAGCGTCCCACATGGCAGAACTACATATGAGCAGCATCCCATATGGCAGAAGGACCTACAACTAGAATGTACAACTATGTACTGGGGGCTTTGGGGAGAAGAAGGAAAAAAGGAAAAATCTGTCCTGTAAACACGTGTGGAACTTTCTGCACTAAACCACTGGTTCTATCTAATGACAATGCACAAACACAGCTCATCATCACATTTAGAATTCTCGGTCCCTACTATGTACTTTTTTCTTTTTTTAAAGATTTTATTTTTTCCTTTTTCTCCCCAAAGCCCCCCGGTACATAGTTGTATATTCTTCGTTGTGGGTCCTTCTAGTTGTGGCATGTGGGACGCTGCCTCGGCATGGTTTGATGAGCAGTGCCATGTCCACGCCCAGGATTTGAACCAACGAAACCCTGGGCCGCCTGCAGCAGAGCGTGTGAACTTAACCACTCGGCCACAGGGCCAGCCCCCCTACTATGTACTTTTAACAGTATGTTACTTGGAAATTAAGTTTTTTTTTTTCTCTCTCCAGAGCCCCAGTGCACGGTTGTATATTCTAGTTGTAAGTCCTTCTAGTTCTTCTATGTAAGCCACCGCCACAGCATAGCTACTGACAGACAGATGGTGTGGTTCTGCAACCAGGAAACAAACCTGGGCCACCGAAGCAGTGAGAGCAACCAACCTAACCACTAGGCCATCAGGGCTGGCTCTGGAAATTAAGTTCTAATTTGAAAATTTTAAAAATATAAAATAGAGGTTGATTTGTTTGTTTAATAATCTTTTAACCTACATAATTTGAAATGAAAGAAATTCAGAACCTAGCATAAACAAATTTTTTACAAGGATAGAGTATCAATAGGAAGAGTACAAAGATCATCATTACGGTGATTTGGGGAAAAAACTAAGACAACATTCTCACTTACCTCTGGCATATATTTTCTTACCCAAGCATGACATAGAAGATACTCTACCTCAATGTCCTGGAGACTGAATTCCTTCTGATCTGTAAAGTTTGCAGCCCCAGCACTAAGCTCCATCAGCATCTTGGCGATCTCGGGCTTTATGGCTGAAGTCAGCCGACTGGCTGCTTCCATGACATGTTCCTGCACATCTTTGAGCTGCATGGCTGCCTTGGAGTAGTGAGAGTTCCTGAACACAGTGCTGAAGAGATCTGTGAGGAAAGTACTGGCACGGCAGAAGACGTTGAGGGCATCCAGGTACTTGGAGATACCCTGCTGGATGTCAGCGATGGGAGTGGAGTGGGGCATGGCATGGTGGCAGCTGCCTGCAGCAGTCAGACTGCCCAGGGGGGCAGTGGTGGCCGTGGATGCCAGGGGAGCACTCAGTGCTCGGCCCAGCTCAGGCATCGGGTACTGCTGGTGCTGCTGCACCTTCTGCTTGGACCCGCCAAGCAGGAAGCGCCGCTTATAGTCCATTTTACTGTCCTGGGCACTGCAGCAATACATGCGGGAGGGGGAACTGTCCCAGTGACCGTGAGAGGGTCAGGGTTCGGATTCTTCTTTTCCTTAAAACTGTAGCTAGGTATAAAAATACTGGAGTTCTGCAAACCTAAGTTTTAAAAAAGGCATTTCCATGAGGCAGATGACCATGTGATCCAACGCAGACGTGGGAAGGACAACAACAGGTTTATATAATTAATATTTTCACTGTAGGCGGGGCCTCTGACAAAAAATAAAAGTGTGTCCAAAATGCTACTTAAGAACTCTTAGCATTCCACTCTCTTAATAAAAAGATATGCTTGCTAAGAAAAATGTTTACCTATAATTGCTTTGCAGGAATATTTTGATACTTGTATTTACAATGGCAGAAAAATAACTTAACTTTAAAAAATGTTATATAATGTAATATAATGTATCTTCAATATACCAGAAAAGTTAGAACCCAAAAACCCACAAGCTGATCAACAGCAATTTAAAAAGCAGTACAGAATTACTTCACACTAAGTCCTTAAGAAGGAAGATCAAACCTCTGTAGAATTTTGACAGAGCCTGCCTGCCAAATCCATTTACCTGTAAAACTTCTCAGTGTGAAAAATTTCCAAATTTCCTTTAATATTTTCTGAAAACAGGATTCTTTTAAAAAAATGGTATTTGTTATTCTAAGTCTTCTCCTCCTTTCCTTTTGTTTGTTGAGGTAGTGGTTTCCTTGTAACATTAATACGAGGTGCTTCCAGACTGGGTTGGCCCTCAATTGTAAAGTCAGAAGCAAGAATGTACAGACGTATTTGTAAGGCCTCTAAGTCATTTCCTGTAAGGGAGAAAAAAATAAGATAAAGTTAGGAAAGTTACAGGACAATGAGTAATTCTGGAGCATTAACTCCTGAAATGCTATTATCCACAAAGGTGGGCTACAAATGAGTAAGAAATCATATTATAACCTTATAAAAGCAGGTACAACAGTGAGAGTTGAACTATGACATGATGACTGCTGGAAATTTCTCAAGTTGTAGCACAAAAATAACACAACAAAAGAAGTTTGATTCCACACCAACTACTTCAAGCTGAGGCTAACAAGTAACACCTCGAGGAGGGCCTAGATACGTGTTTGTGTTCGGTATTCACTTGTTTCCTCCTCAAAGAGCTCACAAATCCACAAGAGGATCAGAAGAGAACCCAGGTTATGGTGGGGGCTGCTGACAAGTACAGAACTCACAAAACTTTAAGGGAGACTGGAAATGGGAGTGATGAGCAAAGACTGAGAGAAATCAAGATGGTTGTCATGAAGAAAATGTTCCTCTGAGGTAGGCCTTGATTGTAGGATAGGTTTTGACAAACGCAAAAGGGATGAGTGGGGCTCACCAGGTAAAAAGATCACCACAACAAAGGCCCTGAGAAGGATGGCATAGGGTTTGTTCTGGATACCCAGATGGGCTGAAGGAGCAGACAGAAAGACAGAGCCTGGAGAGGGGAGTGGCTGGCAGGAGGTTTGCAGACAAGATTTTTCTCATCCTCACCTGGGTAGCAGTTTCCCCTCTGGAGGTTCAAAGGGAAGCCCAGCAGGGTGTGCCAGTTCTTACCCCTTGGGGTAGCTTCTGTGGAGCCCCTGGCTCTAGATAGGTTCAAACAGCAATGACTGCAAATCTCTGGTTGTAGTTACAATGGTGGAGTCGTGACTCTTCTCACATAGCTAATAGGGTTCACACTTGCCTGAACTATCTGTTCTCCCAAACCTAACAATAGTTCAAATATATTTTACAGAGTGTTGTATTTAGTCTATATTAAACTTCAATCTATATGATGTCTGAATATAGTTTACTCATTGATAACTAGATTTTTCTTTCTTTCCATTTTCCTTTTTCTTTAGATAAAAATAAATACAAGTCATATTTTGTCACTCATCATGACCAATTACCATGCCTCCTTTATCGTTCTACGCTTGCACAAGCAAACCAGGAAGGTAGGTAGGTCACAAAAGCAAGAGATGAGAAAAGCGCTGTAGATACAAACACATACTCTGAAAGTGTAGCAACCTTAACCTAGCTAGCATTTCCTAACTAGGTTAAGTTCAACTAAACTGGCCACCATCTGTAGCTCTGCGTTCAAGAGACTCTTGACTCTTAAAAAAATTCTCATAAGCTTTTCAAAAAACAACATATCAAGTGGCTACTTGTCAGAAATCTGCTCCCAAATGTTCTTTTTTCAAATTCATGACAAGAAGGCAATCATATCTATCCCTACCCAAGTGCTCCATTACTATCAACATGGCTTTAAAATTCTGATGTACAAGAGAAGCACTCAACAGGAGTGGGGAAGGAGGGAAGGCTGCTCACAGAGAAACTGTGTGGTCTGAGAAGCAAACCATCCCTTGAGTTGGCCACAGTGAGTGTCTGGAGCAACCCTGACGGGCACTCTTTCTTTGCTCTGTGTTGCACACCTGTGCCTCTGGCTCTGAGAGTCCATTCCTCTGCCAGATGGTCCCAGAAGGCCAAGGAAGACTCACATATTTACCTAATTTTTTAAGATTTTAATTTTTCCTTTTTCTCACTAAAGCCCCCCCGGTACACAGTTGTGTATTTTTAGTTGTGGGTCCTTCTAGTTGTGGCATGTGGGATGCTGTCTCAGCATGGCTTGATGAGCGGTGCCACGTCCGCACCCAGGATTCGAACTGGTGAAACCCTGGGCTGCCGCAACGGAGTGCGTGAACTTAACCACTCGGCCATGGAGCTGGACCTATTTACCTAATTTTTCAAAAAGGATCATAAACATTAAACTTTTCTTCACTTTACATGCTTCCAATATTTAGGTGAATGACACTTGTAAACGCTTAAAAATGTACTACCTCGCCAAATTAATTTACAATTTCAATGCAATCGCTATTAAAATTCAAACTACCTTTTTTATAGAAATGGCAAACTGATCCTAAAATTCATATGGAAATGCAAGGGACCCAAGAAGGCCAAAACAAATATTCAAAAAAATATGTTGGAGGACTCACACTTTCCGATTGGAAAACCCACTATAAAGCTATAGTAATCAAGACAGTGGAATATTGGCACAAGGAAAGATACATACATTAACGGAATAGAATTAAGAGTTTAGAATAAACCCATACATCTGTGGTCAACTGATTTTAGACAAGGGTGCCCAAACCATTCAGTTGGGAAAGAATAGTTTTTTCAATAAGAGGTGCTGGGCCAACTAGGTATCCATATGCAAAGGAATGAATATGGACCCCTATCTTATATCATACACAAAAATTAATTCAAAATGGATCAAAGACCTAAATGTAACAACTAAAATGATAAAACTCTTAAAGAAAACACAGGCGTAAATCTTGGTGAACTTGGATTAGGATATGATTTCTTAGACATGACATCTAAAACACAAGTAACAAAGGAAAAAAAAGATAAACTGGACTTCATCAAAATTAAAAACACTTGCGCATGAAAGGTTACTATCAAGGTGAAGAGACAATCCATAGTATGAGAATAAATATTTGAAAATCATGTATCTCTGAAGGGTTTAGTATCCAGAACATATTACAAAAACTCTTAAAATTCAACAATAAAATGACAATTTATTAGCAGATGGGCAAAGGATTTGAATAGATATTTCTCCAAAGATACAAAACTGGCCAATAAGCAAACGAAAAGATGCTCAACATGGTTAGTCACTAGGAAAATACAAATCAAAACCACAATAAGATACAATTTCATACACACTAGGTTGGCTACAATAAAAATAAACAAAAAAACAAACAGAGAATAAGTGTGGGTGAGAATGTGGAGAAACTAGAACCCTCATACATTGCTGGTAGGAATGCAAGATGATACTGCCACTGTAAAAAGCAGTTTGGCAGTTCCTTAAAATGTTAGAGAGTTGCCACATGACCAAGTAATTCCACTCTTAAGTATATACTCAAGAAAACTGAAAACATAAGTTAATATAAAAACTTGCACATGAATGTCCATAGCAGCATTATTAATAATAGCCAAAAAATAGAAACAACCCAATGTCTATCAACTGATGAATGAATAAACTAAATTGTATGGTATAGCCATACAATGGAATATTATTCAGCCATAAAAAAGGAGTAAGAACTGATAAATACTACAACATGGATGAACTTTGAAAACATTATGGTAAGTGAAAGAAGCCAGACACAGAAGGTCCTATAACGTGAGAGTCCATTGACATGAAACATCCAGATAAGGCAAATCTGTAGAGAGAGAAAAAAGTAGATTAGTGGTTGCCAGGAGCTGAGAGGAAGGGAATAGGGAATGACTGCTCATTAATACAGAGTTTCTTTTTGGAGTGATGAAAATGTTCTGGAATTAGATGGTGGTGATGGGCACACAACTTTACTAATATACTAAAACCCACTGAATTTCACACCTTAAACCAGTGAATTTTATGGTATATAAATTATATATCAATAAAAAGAAAGAAGGAAATAGGGAAAAATATATACTACTGACCTCCAGAAATGTCTGTTTAGAACAGATGAACAAAGGTCTGATATGCGACATACGAAAAATGATCCATTGGTAACTGGGTGGATCTTCAGCTGGTGTGTGTGGCTGGTGACTAACCAGTGTGGTAATTATCTGGGTACTTACTTGGAGATAATAAAACAAGCACTGTTACTGTAACTTGTGGACTTTCCTATGTGTTATTCTTCAGGAAAAAATTAAAGGAAGAAACAAAGAGTTAACCGGCACAGAAAGGAGGGAGGCTTGGGTAAGGAAGCTTATTCCAGGTGGAACAGTCTTGGGGAGGTGAAACCTAGAAGGCAGTCCACAGAGACTACCAAATGGCTGGTCTCAATCAAATCTCCCTCCTCCATTACAACAAACCAGTGGGGCCAAGAATATGGGCGCTGCACTACTCTGAAATGTATGTGCTTTCATAACTAACTTAGGGTGAAGAAAACGTCCTAAATGAAAAGCCTTTACAAGCTTTAAGATTCAGACCCAGGGGTTGGCACAGTGGTTAAATTTGTGCACTCCACTTGGTGGCCTGGGGTTTGCAGGTTCAGATCCTGGGTGCAGACCTACACTGCTCACCAAGCCATGCTGTGGCAGCATTCCACACAGAAGAACTAGAGGGATATACAACTATGTGTTGGGGCTTTGGGGAGGAAAAAAGAAGATTCAGACCTAATCCAAACTACAATTTCACGATTAAGAAAAGAACAGATTCATCAAAATAAAAACCCAAAACGAATGGGGAGAGGACTGACATCATCAAAAATGGCAGAGTAAGGACCTCTAAAAATTCTCTCCTCCATAAAAACAATGAGAAAGCTGGCAAAAATGCTCAGAATCAACTTTTTCAAAACTCTAGAAATTAACAGGCTTGCAGCAAAGTGGGGTGTGTTTATTCAAGAAAAACAGCTGAATCAATAAGAAGAATGAGCTTTGTAGCATCTTAACTTGACCTAGTTCCAGTCTCTGCTCTCTAACTCTACGGTAGCCTTGAAAACTAGCAGCTGCATTTGAAGAGAAAACCAAAAGGCAGGTAGCCACTGGAGGGAACAGAACTCAGTTAGAGCTCCTTCAGAGTTTCAGCTGCAGGAAATGATCATTATTTGACCTACCTGGAAGTCAGGTACCTAGAAGTTTCCATTGCAAGAGTCTCTGTTTCACCTGACTTGGAACTCAATTGGAGAGGGGAAAGAAACTGACTTTCACAGTTGTCGCATTATATCAGTTAAAATGTTCAATTTTCAATTAAAATTTACAAGACATGTAAAGAAACAAGAAAGTAATGCCCATACACAGGGAAAAAAAACCCAAACAGAAACAATTCCTGAGTAAACCCAGATGTTAGATTTACTAGACAAAGACTTAAAATCAACTATTTTAAATACGTTTAAAGAACTAAAGGAAACCATATCTAAAGAACTAAAGGAAAGTATGAGAATGATGTCTGAGTAAATACAGAATACTAATAAAAGTTAGAAATTATATTAAAAAAAGAAACAATAGAAATTCTGGAGTTGAAAAATATACCTGACATAAAAAAATATACTAAGTGGCTCAACAGCAGATTTGAGTAGGAATCAGTGAATCTGAAGATACATCAATTGAGATAATCCAGTCTGAGGAACAGAAAGAAAAAAGAATGAAGCAAAAAGAGAAGAGCCCCAGAGACCTGTGGCACACCATCAAGCATACTGGCATCATATAACAGGATGCCCAGAAAGAAAGGAGAGAGAACGGCACAGAAAGGATATTTGAAGAAATAATAGCCAAAAACTTCTCAAATTTGATGAAAAACATGAATCTACACATCCATGAAGCTCAACAAACTCCAAGTAAGATAAACTCAAAGAAATCCACGTAGACACAGAATAATCAAATTGCCTCAAGCAAAAGAAAAAGAGAGAATCTTGAAAGTAGCAAGACAGAAAGAAGCAATTCATCATGCACAGTTGATTCTTATCGTTTACAGGTAGTTATATAAAATCGCCACAAACACTGAATTAGCAAATACCGAATCAGTACTCCTGGAAGACATACGGAGGTAAATTCCTGTGAGCCTCTGGTCAAAACATTTTCATCGACCAATCAAACATAACCTTGTTTCATGTGTGTTTCTGTTTAAAGATATCTTATTTAACATAGACTGTTGATTCACTGACATTGAACTCACAGTCAACAGCACTATAACTCATGCCAGAATGAAGCTCATCTAACGCATGTATTTTCTCTGTAAGGCACATCACAGCCTTCTTGGGCTCAGCAACACTAAACAGCACTTCAGCACTACACTTAGGGGGCATTTTAAACAGTGAAATTGCCAACAAAAAGTATAAAACTGCAAAAAACATGGCACTAAATAGACTATGAAAGGACCTTTGTTCACAGTCTCAGAGCTGAAGTAAGAAGGGAGAGCATCACCTTGTTTGACCTCCAATGGGGGTGTGCACATCGGGCAATTCAAATTTTTTGCCACGCTGCACGTGTCCACAAATGACCACAAGAGCTCCACAGTATTGATTTTGTTATAAATAAATTTTAGCCAGTAAGCCAATCCACAAATACAGAATCTGAGAATCATGAGGGCCAACCATAGATAACACTACTTGAAATACCTGTATTCCCAACATAATTGGGTACTCTTCTTAAAAATCTAATATACAAAAATATCAACCTATGAAACAAATAATCAGAGGATTACTGAACATCTTCAAAGATACATGGGCGTGCCTTTAAATAGTGAAGACTGAATATATTTAATCTAATATTTCAACAATTCCATTACACATAAACTTTCAGGATTTCATTATAATTTTTAAAGGCTCAAGCCTATATATTTAAGGTACAGTCTAATTGATAATTTAGAAGTATATAATTTATAAAGACAAATTTATGCTTTAAAAGAACAGTTATGTCTGGTGGATCATTTACTCCTCCCCCCTTTTAAGAATGCATTATTTTGAAAATAAAAAATAAATTTTCTGAAAGTTAAACAAATTGAGGAGTTACATTATTAGTCATTAAACTTTTTATTTTAGTGCTAAGCTCACAGTGAAAATTTTTATTAAAATGTCAATGGAAGGGCTGGCCTGGTGGTGCAGCCAGTAAGTGCGCACGTTCCGCTTCGGCAGCCCAGGGTTCACCAGTTCAGATCCCGGGTGCGGACATGGCACCACTTGGGAAGCCAGGCTGTGGTAGGTGTCCCACATATAAAGTAGAGGAAGATGGGCATGGATGTTAACTCAGGGCCAGTCTTCCTCAGCAAAAAGAGGAGGATTGGCGGCAGATGTTAGCCAAAAACAGAATGGGCATTTTTTAAGCAATTTTTTTCACAAGATGCCTACTAACATTAACTTTATTAAGACTAGGGTGAAAAGAAAGAAGCCGCCAATGAAAACCAATCGTGGCCTAAGGACATTCTTCCCTGACATTAGAAAAAGAACACCACTCTTAATTGAGTGACTACTAAAATGCTGAATCCTGGGGTACAATCCAAATCTAACGAATCAACCTTTGGGGGTAAGAGCAGAGAATACGCATATTTCACAAGATCCCCAGGTGATTCTGACGCATGCTATAATTTGAGAACTGAATGGGCCAGCTGAAAACCTGCTCAAAGCCACAAGGATGAGTATACCTGATCAGGGACACCTGAAGACGCTGACTGTCTAAACACCACTTAACACAACTCAGGTATTTCACCAATACTCCTATCCATTCAAGAATCCAGACAGGGCCCCACCCACCCGCAATGTGATAAATGACTATTTTCGAGGACCAAGGGTCTGGTGGGACAATGCAATGAAAACTTCTGTTCGTATCATAATTGTTTCTAACAAGACCACCTAAGTCTCACAGTCAAACCTGGGATTGTTCCCCAGGCAGAGAGAACAACCAAGCCCCTTAAGAAAATAAAACTGTTTTTTTCACTTAGTCTTAATAGATCTGGTGTTCCTGTGCTGTTCTTCACCGGAATCAAAACTAGAGAGTGTTGAATTCAAGGATTCATGGAATTGAAATACCACTCAAGTTCTATCATTTTCAAATGGGATTTTGCCAAGAAACAACATGCAGTGAAGGTGGCAACATCCACCTAAGGATCCTCTTCATGGCAGCGATCATGATACCCCTGACAAAATACTGCTGGAAGCTGAGTGATGGGCACAAGAGGTTCACCAGATCGTTTGCTCTATTGTATTTGACTGAACATTTCTTTCATAAAAAGTTTAAAATGCACACCAGCATGTATACAAACACTTGGATATATCCCTTTTTTTAAAAAAATAAAATTCTTCTCAATGCTTGTCTTACTATTTTTTGAATGCTTTCCCCCCATATTTATCTGCCTGAAGGGCTAAAATATGTTCAATCCATTTAAGGACATTTCTGTACTGTCTTAAAAAGAATTTTCACTAGGAAAATATTCACCATTTATGAATCCATTATTCACACTACATGGAAATAAATATGCATTGTGAAAGACCTCAGAAGTTAGTGTGTAGCCAAGACTTGTAAGATTTATGTACTGTATTCATAAGTTTTAATGCTGCCTAAGATTCTCAAACACATAGGAGAAAAAGACATTTTAATGGGTAAGTTACATCTTTTCAACACCACAATAATTTGCAAAAGTTTTCAATAGATTAAAATTGAATTCAGACCTCATTACATCATGTAAAATATTTCTGCACTCAAACTCATGGGCAATTTCTATTTCGAACAATAACAAAGAATATGCTTGAAACTAGACAAAAGATAAGGATAAAAGGGTTTTCTTATACCCATAACTGATAACTCACAAAACCTGAAGAACTTCCCTTTAGAGAGTCCAGCAGATAAGAGAGTGGCCTTGGGGGCCAACTAACTGGGTGAGATCCTGGCTCTGCCACTTACCAGCTATGTGACCTTGGGCAAGTTCTGTAACCTCTCTGTGCTCAGTTTCATCATCTGTAAAATAGGGATAGTAACAGTAACTACTGTTATTGAGTTAAATGAGTTATACATATAAAGCACATAGAATAGTGTCTGGCACATATTAAGAACTAAATGTTTGATGATCTTATTATTATCACTCCCAGACAATAAGTGAAAGTAAGCAGGCCTTGTTATCTCTGCTTGTCTGGAAAAAAGTTACTGATAAACAAAAAAGGTCTGGTAAAGTCACCCACTCCCTGAAGTGAGTAGACATCTACCTAACTTGGGCCAGCAACATCACATGTTTCAGAGATGTGATAGCTATAATTTGTGAACACAGAGAATAATTTTAAATTCATTTCAGTCATTAAGCCAACAGAGAAAATGGAGTGAAAGGCAGTCCCGTTGTCAGCGACGGTATGGCACCAAGTAGCTTCATTTCAATACGGTAGGCTAAATAAACACACATATGTACTTAGTTCCCCATTGTCCTCAAATCCCAACATAACAGTAAAGACGTTCACATGGGAACCACAGCACAACAGCAATGGCAGGGCTGAGGGACAGAGTCTATTTAAATGCTGGGCACTTTCTAGAAGATGGAGAGAAAGCAGAGGAAATTATAGGACAAGATAGACCAGAGCAGAGCTGGACACTTCCCAGTACTTGCAGAGCCAAAGGCGGGCAGAGAAGTAGAGCCCTTTTTCCTGGAGGAGCTGGATAAATGCCCAGCTTTGAGCCAGCAGGTACAGAAATCAGGAGTGGAAATAGGTTCATTAACCTGATCTGCATACTTCTCCCTCCTGGTCACTGAATCAGTCAACTCCTACTAAGGCAAGAGGACTGTTGGAAAAACAAGAACCTCTTGTCAATTACCTATATAATCAACTCAGTTCTTCATTGATAAGGATTGATAAGTGAAAGACAACCAAGAGGACAAAAAAGGACAACTAAGATAAAAAGCAGATCAAACCCCAGAAGAAACACGTATTTTAGGTTCTATAAAAATACCAGAAAAGATGGGGCCGGCCCCGTGGCCAAGTGGTTAAGTTCGTGCTCTCTGCTTCAGCGGCCCACGGTTTCACTGGTTCGGATCCTGGGCACGGACACGGCACCGCTTGTCAGGCCATGCTGAGGCGGCATCCCACATGCCACAACTAGAAGGACCCACAACTAAAATATACAACTATGCACTGGAGGGATTTGGGGAGAAAAAAGCACAACAAAAAAAACCAGAGTTTGGACTTGGCAATGATTTCTTAGATACGACAGCAATAGCTAGATAACAAAAGAAAAAATAGACAAATTAAAATTTTTGTACATCAAAACACACTATCAACAAAGTGAAAAGGCAACTCACAGAGCGGGAGAAAATATTTGTAAATTATATATCTGAAAAGGATTAATATCCAGAATATATAAAGAACTCCTACAACTCAAACATTAAAAAAAATTCAATTTTAAAATGGGCAAAGGACTTGAACAGATATTTGCCCAAAGAAACAGACAAATGGCCAATAAGACATAAAAAGATGCTCAACATCATTAGCTATCAGGGAAATGGTAAATAAAACCACAAGATATCACTTCACAACCTCTATGATGGCTATAATCAAAAAGACGGAGGATAACAAGCATTGGCAAGGATGTGGAGAAATTGGAATCCTCACATACTGTCAGTGGGAGTGTAAAATGGTGCAGATATTTTGGAAAACAGTCTGGCAGTACCTCAAACGGTTAAACCTCGAATTACCATATAACTGAGCAATTCCACAACTATGTATACCCAAGAGAAATGAGAAATGAAAAACATATGTCTACACAAAAACCTGTATATGAAAGCTTACAAGAATATTCTACATAATAGTAAAAACGTGGAGACAACCCAAATGTCTATCAACTGATGAATGGATAAACAAAATGCAGTACGGCCATACAATTGCATAGTATTATTCAGGCATAAAAAGGAATGAAGTACTGACACATGCTACAACATGGATGAGCCTTGAAAGCATTATGCTAAGTGAAAGAAGCCAGACACAAAAGGCCACTTATTGTAGGATTCCATTAATATGAAATGTCCAGAACAGGCAAATCCATTGAAACAGAAAGTAGATTAATGGTTGCTGAGGGCTGGGGTGGATGGGAAGAACGAGGAGTGACTGCTAATGGGTACAAGGTTTCTCTTCAGAGGGATGAAAATATTCTAAAATTGACTGTGCTGGTGGTGATTGTATAACTCTGTGAATATACTAAAAATCATTGAATTATACACTTTAAATGGGTAAAGTTGTAAGGTATGTAAGTTATATTTCAATAAAGCTGTCATAAAAAAAAAAAAGATGAACCATTCCACAAACAATTCCCTCCTCAGAGAAAAAATACAGAAAATTTTCTCTCTTCTCCAGTCTACAACCATGTAAATCTAAATATCTACTCTTGATAATGTGGAGACACCACAGGAAATTCTTTAGGGAGATTAGTGAAGTTATTGTCTATGAAGTTCAAAGCCCAACCATTTCTATGTTTTTTGTCAGTTCAGAATGACACAAGCCATATTTAGAAATGCACTCCAGAAAAATGCTTTGAAGAATTTTATTCTCAACAATCATGAATTCAAAATATCTATCCAGGCAAGAGAAAATGCCAGAAAGATTCAGTTCTTTGTTCCCTCCCTTTTTATGACTCTACTTTTTTGTCTCCCCTTATATGTTATCATATTAAAAAGAGCGAAGCAGGGGCTGGCCCCGTGGTCCAGTGGTTGGGTCCGCACGCTCCGCTTCGGTGGCCCAGGGTTTTGCCGATTCTGATCCCGGGCACAGACATGGCACTACTCATCAAGCCAGACTGCGTCAGCGTCCCACATAGCACGACCGGAGGCACTCACAGCTAGAATATACAACTATGTACTGGGGGGGTTTGAGGGAGAAGAAGAAGAAGAAAAAGAGTGAAGCGCAACTCCATAGATGCTGCTATGAAAAGACGCTGGCTCTCCCAGCTCCCCTCCTGCCCCTCCGGCTACTCTTAGTTGCCTATTTGAGCCACTCCTCCTCTGACAGACCTGAAGTGCTGTGGTTCCACAGAGCTCTAAGCTGTGCCCTGTCTGTTTCTATGATCAACATGATATCCTTGGGAGGAATCCTAAATCCATCTCTCTAGTCCAGATCTTTCTCCTGTGCTCCAGAGTCCAAATATTCAACTGCCTACTGGACAGGTCCCCAAATCAAAAGTCCAAAACCAACTTTCTTCAGTCCTTCAGTGTTCCTTTCCTGTCTTGGTGAATGGCATCACCATCCACCTACTTGAACAGGCCAGAAACCTGGGAGTTATCCTCTACTACTCACTCTTTTACATCCAATTAATCGTTTAGTCATATCCTTCTTACCTCCTTAATCTCTCAAGTCTTTTCCCTTCTCTCTATCTTCACTGCCAATCCAAAGCTAGACCATCTTTACCTCTTGCCTGAATTACTGACGAGCCTCCTCAGTGATCTTCCAAATACCTGGACTGCTCCCCTCTGGTAGCCATGTGATTGTTCTAGAGGGAATTTAATCACACCATGCTCCTGTTTAAAATATGTCATGGCTCTCCACTACTCTTCCCAAGTTTCTTGCCCCAAAACTCTGCCTGAAATTGCCCAATTCTTGCTTGTGCCATCTTCCCTCTCACCATCTACATGTTAAGTTCCCTCCGCCTGGAAAGCTCCCCGGCTTACTCCCACTCCTGGATGTCTAACATAGACGTCACCTCCTCTGGGAAGCCAGCTTGACAAAGACTGAGCTGGGAGCCCCTCTGTGTGCTACCATAACACCCTGTTTTTAGCCCCATCTTAGCATTATTTTTGCTGTATTGTAACATACCACATCACAACTGCCAGTTCCCGTGTTCCCTGCCACCTCCAAGCCCCAGATCACTGCCCTCCTTCAAGACATTCAAGAGTGCTAAGCACACTGTGAACACTCTACAGGTATTCGTTGAACGATCAGTTCACCCTCAGTATTTATTTAATGGTTATTTCTATACAGCATTCATACAGTCAGCCTTGCCATCCACAAAGGCAGTAGTTAAGTGCTAGAAATTAGGTTTTGCTTGAAAAAAAAAAAAGCTGCTGCTGACATGCCATGTTCACACAAGTACTCAACAAAATGGACCGTTCATTAAGTGCCTACAATGTGTCAGGCATTATATCTGGAGCTTTCGATACGTAATCTCATTTAATCCTCACCAGAACCCTAAAATAAAAGAGCTGACATTAACTGAAGGAGCAGTAAGTGCCAGGCACTGTGCAATTCACTTTACATACGCTATCTGATTTAATTCTCACAGTGACCCTGTGAGGTGGTTGAGATATCTAAAGAGGTTAAGGGAGTTCTTCAAGTTCTCGCCACTTGGCTAAGGCAGAGCTGGGTTGGGGCCTGGTAGTCAGCCGCCAGAGGCTGAGCTCTCCATCACTGCACTACTCTACCTCTGTCAAACATCCAGACCATGCCATTCTGTTTGTCACTCTGAGGAGATGGTTTGAAGCTGTAGGCTTCTTGGAAATTATAGGAATTGAGCTGCAGCAATGAGAAGAAAAGTAAAGTGATCTCTCTTTAGGAGATCAGACCCATATCCCTTGCTGATGACACCCAAATTTAACTTTCCAATCAAGACCCCTCTCTCCCAGGACTAGACTCATGTCTTCGAGTCCTTCACATTTTACCTAGTCATCCTTCCATTCCCTGCTCCTCCTGCTGTATTTACTACCTTGGTTAAAGGCACTACCAACTCTGAGCCTAAACCTAAGGTGTTATCCCAGACGGTCCCTGTCCTGTTCCCTTACCTTTCTACCTAAACACTCAATCCCACCAGTCCTATTTCCCTTGTCTACAGCAACTGCTCCATAAATGTTAGCTAGTATTACTATTACTAAATGCCTCTCATTCTCTCCTTTATACCCACACTGTTCAGCTTCCAAGAAACTAGCCTTCTGGAGCAAGTAAGATCAAGGCTGAGAGAATGCCTTCTATGAGGAGCAGAGCCAAGTTGCCGGA